TTTTTTTGATACTGGGTCTCACTCTGTCACCTAGGCTGAGTGCAGTGGTGCAATCATGGCTCACTGCAACCTCCATCTGGGGGTTTAAGTGATCCTCCCTCCTTAGCCTCCCCAGTAGCTGGGACCAGAGGCGTACATTGTCACACCTGGCTAATTTTTTTTTATTTTGAGAGCGCTTCACTCTTGTTGCCCGGGCTGGAGGGCAATGGCACAATCTTGGCTCACAGCCTGTGTCTCCCTGGTTCAAGCGATTCTCCTGCAACAGCCTCCCGAGTAGCCAGGATTATAGGCATGTGCCACCATGCCCAGCTAATTTTGTATTTTTAGGAGTGACAGGGTTTTTCCATGTTAGTTAGAATGGTCTCGAACTCCTGACCTCAGGTGATCCGCCCACCTTGGCCTCCCAAAGTGATGGGATTATAAGCATGAGCCACTGTGCCTGGCAATTTTTGTATTTTTTTGAGACAGGACTTTGCCATGTTGCCCCGGCTGGTCTTGAATTCCTGAGCTCAAGCAATCCACACACCTTGGCCTCCCAAAGTGCTGCAATTACAGGTATGAGCTACCATGCCTGGCTAATTCCACTTTTTTAGTTTAGTATATGCCCAAGAGAATGGAAATGTGTTCACACAAAAACTTGTACATGAATGTCATTCATAATAGCCAAAAAGTAGAAACAACCCATTTATCAGTTGATGGACTGTTGTTTATATTGACTTGTCAGTCCATCAGCTGATAAATTGGTAAAGTGTGATACATACATACAATGTGATGATTATACAGTCCTGTGAATCATCTAAAACTATCGAATTATACACTGTAAGTGGATGAATTATAAATGAATGCTATCTCAATAAACTTGTAAAATACCATCTCTTATTGGCTCTGTAAGGTCATAGTGGTTCTTCAGAGTTTCTTTTATACCTCACACATGTAGGCAGAATCTCTACTACCTATATCCTAGTTGGCTTAATTTTAATTCTTTAATGTATGTGTTGTTGTTGATACATAATTTAGAGAGCTTGCTTCTATGCTGTGCTTTTTTACCACCTAACATCCACAATTTCCTGGCTTGATGTACTACAGAAGTAAGAATAATCTTGTTCCAATTTGCAAGTTGCCTCATCTGACAATGAAACCTCACCCTGGCTGGGCGCTGTGGCTCACACCTGTAATCCCAGCACTTTGGGAGGCCTAGGCAGGCGGATCACGAGGTCAAGAAATCGAGACTACGCTGGCCAACATGTTGAAACTTTATCTCTACAGAAAATACAAAAAAATATTAGCTGGGTGTGGTGGTGCGCACCTGTAGTCCCACGTACTTAGGAGGCTAAGGCAGGAGAATCGCAAGAACCTGGGAGGCAGAGGTTGCAGTGAGCCGAGATTGTGCCATTGTACTGCAGCCTGGCGATAGAACAAGACTCTGTCTCAAAAGAAAAAAGAAGATAGAAACCTCACCCTTCTGAAATCTAACCATGAGATAGGTAAAGTCCATCCATAAGGCTCCTTCCCTTTGTTCATTGGAAGGCGATCAGACTCCCTTTCAGCCTGTTTGCCCTTATTTTACATAGCATGCTAATAAGCAAGTTGCTGATTTCCAAACCCAGCAGACTAGAAATACCAAGTTAGAAAGGGTTTAAGGATGGACTATACAGATTGAATTGTGTCTCCCCCAAATTCTTATGTTGAAACCTTAATTGTTGCTTTTGCGAGTTAATTAGGTTGAGTTGAGGTCATGAAGGTGGGACCCTCATGATGGGGTTAAGTGCCCTTATCAGATGGGGACACCACAGAGCTGTGGTCCCCTCACCCCCATGTAAAGGACACACTGAGAAGGTAGCTACCTACAAGCTAAGAAGAGAGCCCTCAACAGAAACCATTCATTAGTATTGGACTTCTAGCCTCCAGAACTATGAGACAATACATTTCTGTTAAGTTGTTCAGTCTGTGGTATTTTGTTATGGCAGCTTGAGCTGCTGAGCCATGACAGTAGCCTTGAAAAAAGGCAGCCCTTAGTGTAACAGGAGACAGGCACACTGGGAGAAGGGTGCACTAGCACAGCCTTGACAATCAATTTTGTATAGTGATGTTCAGCTGTACATAGCATCAGCTCGATAGGGCTTGAGACTTCTTAGGTCACAACATAGTAAAAACGATTTTCTTAATAATGACTGATTCATCAAGAGGATTGAATCGTTTTCTGTTGAAGGCCATAAAGGGATTTAAATCTGTATTAGAAGTATTTCCATCCAAGATAATTGAAACTATTCACCTTTTAAAAGTTGAATTAAATTTTGTGCTACCCAGAATGCCTCGCTCCTCATAATTTCTAGATGCCTTTTTGAGTGTTATTTGAGTTTTTGTTTTTCAAAGCAAAGAGGGTGAAGGTAAGTTTCTACTTTCCTTGTCCTAAAATTATACTTGATTTAAATTTTGAGGCAGAATGTTGTTCTGTTGCCAGGCTGGAGTGCAGTGATGCAGTCATAGCTCACTGTAGCCTTGAACTCCTGGACTCAAGCTATTCTGCCTCAGCCTCTGAGTAGTGGGGACTTCAGGCCCACATCACCTCACTTGGCTCTTTTTTTTGTTTGTTTTTTTCTCGAGACAGAGTCTCGCTCTGTCACCCAGGCTAGAGTGCAGTGGTGCAATCTCAGGTCACTGCAATCTCTGCCTCCCGGTTCAAGCGATTCTCCTGCCTCAGCCTCCTGAGTAGCTGAGATTACAGGTGTGTGTCACCACACCCTGCTAATTTTTGTGTTTTTAGTAGAGATGGGGTTTCACCATACTGGTCAGGCTGGTCTTGCACTCCTGACCTCATGATCCACCTGCCTTGGCCTCCCAAAGTGCTAGGATTATAAGCATGAGCCACCGCACCCGGCCCTTAACTCTTTTTTTTAAATATTTTTTTTTGTGTGGAGACAGAGTCTCACTATGTTGCCCAGACTGGACTTAGACTCCTGGGCTCAAGCAATCCTCCGCCTTGGACTCCCAAAGTGTTGGGATTACAGGCAATGAGCCACCATGCCCAGGCTCTCTTGTCTTTTTTATAATAGCCATTCTAAGAGATGGGAAGTGATAGTCTCATTGTGGTTTTGATTTGCATTTCCTTGACGATGAGTGATGATGAGCACCTTTTAATGTACCTATTCACCATTTGGAAGGAGGTTTCCATCACTGTTTATCAGTTGAAGTGTACTCTTCAGAACTATTGTTTTAAAAACATTCAGGTAGCACTTACTGGTAAGCGGATTGTTTTGCAGAATAGAGAGGGGCTGCCAGCCAGTTCCAGCTTTGACTATAGCTGTGAGAAGAATGTCAGTCTCAGTGCTTCTTTGGAAAGCCTTTTAAAGGGGCTATTTTTTCTCATACTTGTTTTTTCTTTCACTTAAAACTTTTTTTTCTTAAAGATATTAATGTTAGTTCCTAGATCACATAGAAATAAGACATAGCCCTGACATAAGAAACTCAAAGTCTATAAAGAGAGACAGATGGATAAACAGGAGTCCTGTAATATGTGATGTGTGTTGAGTAAGATGGGGAGGAAGAACCTTTTTAAAAAGTGAGGGGTGGCATTGGCTTCATAAAGGAAGTGATGGTTGGAGCCGAGTCCTGAAGGATCAGCAAGCAGGTGTGTCACTGGGAGAAGAGAAAGAGCATTCCTGATGGCAGGGGAGCCTGTTTACAGGTAGGGAAGTTAGAGCTTATGCTTTCAACTTGAATTGTAAAATCCTTAAAAGTTAGGATTATGTGGGATTTAAATTAAATTCCTGGGTAGTAGTATATGTTGATAACCCCTTAAATTGTTTCAAACTCTCTTTAACTCTGTTTTCCAGGAACTCGAATCATTTATGACAGAAAGTTTCTGTTGGATCGTCGCAATTCTCCCATGGCTCAGACGCCACCCTGCCATCTGCCCAATATCCCAGGAGTCACCAGCCCTGGCACCTTAATTGAAGACTCCAAAGTAGAAGTAAACAATTTGAACAACTTGAACAATCATGACAGGAAACATGCAGTTGGTAAGAGAATGGCGGTGTTGGAGACCTAGAGCGTGGCTCTTGTAATTTGAATGTCTGTTTGCTATAGGTTGAGAAGCTATTGATTCTTCGGTTGTTGTGTTTTTTATTTCTTTTTTTGTTTTAGACCGAGTTTCACTCTGTCACCCGGGCTGGAGTGCAGTGACACGATCTCGGCTCACTGCAACCTCCGCCTCCCGGGTTAAGCAATTTTCCTGCCTTAGCCTCCCCAGTAGCTGGGATTACAGGCACCCACTACCACGCCCAGCTGATTTTTGTATTTTTTAGAAGAGATGGAGTTTCGCCATGTTAGCCAGGCTGGTCTTGAACTCCTGACCTCAGGTGATTCGCCTGCCTCAGCCTCCCAAAGTGCCAGGATTACAGGTGTGAGCTACTGCGCCTGGCCAATTCTTCAGTTATAACTGATGTTCAGTTACATGTCTCTAAGGTTCCCCTCCCTCCCCCAAAGGTTTCTTGAAATGCTCTGAAAACCCTGAGTCCTGAGTTCTTTTTTTTTTTTTGAGACAGAGTTTCATTCCTGTTGCCCAAGCTGGAGTGGTGCAATCTCGGCTCACTGCAACCTCTGCCTCTTGGGTTCAAGTGATTCTCTTGCCTCATCCTCCCAATTAGCTGGGATTACAGGCACCCGCCACCACACCTGGTTAATTTTTGTATTTTTAATAGAGACGGGGTTTCAGCACGTTGGCCAGGCTGGTCTTGAACTCCTAACCTCAGGTGATCCACCCACCTTGGCCTCCCAAAGTGATGGGATTAAGGCATGAGCCACCCCAACCAGCCTGAAAACTCTCAGTTCTGAATCATAATCAAATCTAATGTCATTGGTGGGAGAAAAGAATCTGGAATCAGGATGGTAAACCCCAAAAATGACTTCTTGAACCATTGCCTGGCCTCAGCTTCATTGGACTAAGGATATACACAGAAAACAAAACATGTTATAGCCCCCATTTCCATCACCCTCAGGCAAATAGACCTTGTTTCTTATAGGAATTTCTTTTTTATGGTGTGAGGAAAAGCAGTATGGCTTATTTCCTGTATTTTCCAGAGCTACCTAAATTACCCCTTCTCTCACACATTCTTTTGTAATAAGCCCTCTTTATCTCTGTAGAAGCAGAATGGTGAGGTGGGAGTGGCCAGCTCCTGATCCTCAGGGACTGCACTTGGACCACTAGATGTGAGCCAGCATTCTGCTTTGTCATAATTCAGATGAGTTTTTTTAATACACAAAGTGTCAGTTTGGAGCAGGTTCAAAGTCCAAAGCCTCCAGAAGAGTGTGCTCCCCGATAGATGGCAAAGAGCTCCCTAGGAGCTGCTGTTTGGTCAAAGTAGAGTAATTGTTTTAGGGCAGCAGAGAATGGGACAATCTGAATTATTTTTTGTCTCTCATATAGAGGGAATGACGGTTAAAATGACGGTTAAAACTGTTTTGCAGGCCGGGCGCGGTGGCTCACGCCTATAATCCCAGCACTTTGGGAGGCCGAGGCGGGTTGATCATGAGGTCAAGAGATCGAGACCATCCTGGTCAACATGGTGAAACCCCGTCTCTACTAAAAATACAAAACATTAGCTGGGCATGGTGGTGTGTGCCTGTAATCCCAGCTACTCAGGAGGCTGAGGCAGGAGAATTGCCTGAACCCAGGAGGCGGAGGTTGCGGTGAGCCGAGATCGCGCCATTGCACTCCAGCCTGGGTAACAAGAGCAAAACTCCGTCTCAAAAAAAAAAAAAAAAAAAACTGTTTTGCTTTTTTTGTGTGTATGCCAAACTCTTCATTTTATTTGTCCTAACCAGGGGATGATGCTCAGTTCGAGATGGACATCTGACTCTCCTGCAAGGATTAGAAGAAAAGCAGCAACACTGATACCTGTGTGCACCTGATTTGGCCAATAAGATCTAACAGTGTAAAGACAGAAGAGGCAATACCAGCAGTCCCCATTATAGTCTCCACCTCCCCCTCTTCCTCTGGGTGCCAAATGATGGGAAGATGAGCTTCATCCGACCATTTCTTCACCCTGTCTCCTATTCCCCTTCCCAGTTAAACAGGTTAGATTGAAGGCCCTTGGTGTATTTCTCTAGAGCTAAGCAGCCCGTAGAGGAAAACAGTTAAACTCTGACTTTCCTAGTTGTATTTTTAATTGAGAGCTAACTTCATACCCCACAATTTTGTCCCAAATCAAATATCGACCTACCAGCAACTGCCTGACTGGGAAGTCTGGGAAAGGGATACAGAGGCTTGGTGGGCCTAACACCATTCATGCTCCTTACACTCTGTCTCTCCTCCCTGTATCCCACCTATGGTTCAGTGTTGCAAGAGTCTGGGTTTGGGGTCTTTAAAACCAGCAGGGTAAATGATAAAAAGAGCTGCTTTCCCTTTTACCTTGAGGTATTCGTCCCTCGGGACAGAGCACAGTTTGCGCAACTCTGGTAGCATTACCCCGTGACACTGTTTTGAGGTCCACTTCTGTTCTTTCCTTTGGGAGGAATGTCTTCCGTCTTTGGTATTATAGTTCATCTTCCCATTCTTTTACTTAGTGTATTTGTGCAGATATTTTTAACTCTGTACATCAGAAGAGAGCCCTTGGTAACCAGTTTAGTTCTTCTGTCATTCCTCCCTGCTTGCATCTTGTTGCTGGCAGAGTCCTCTTGTACTTCAAGAAAGAGAAGTGATTTTGTCTGTTCCTGTTACCAAGTAATAGAGGCACTTTAGCCTCACTTGGTGGGTAAGGCCTGATCATAGTATTCTGTCAGATAATGCCTAAGAATGACCTCCGAAGAGCGTTGACCCATTTGAGTACCCAGTCTCAGTAGTCATTTTTAAGTCCAGGGAGCATTGCGATAGTTGTTCTCAGATTGCAGTTTCTTACGTTTTGAGTTTGAAGTTGATTTTCATAATGTTCTTAGAAAAGAACTGCATTTTTTCCTTTGTGGGTCTGCATTGTTTGGCTGCTGGGTTAGATAAGCATGGGCTTAAAAAATGTGTTCCTCCCAGTTTTCTTGCCTTTTCCATTGTACTCTGAATTTCCTTCCCTACCTCCCTTCCTGTCTTCCTCTCCTTCCTTTCCTTCCTTTTTCTCTACCAGGCCATTTTTCAAATTTACGTCAAAGATACCTCACGTTGGTATCTGAGAATATCTGTCACTCCTCTTATCTGAGAAGTGACCTTTTATTTTTAAGATGACTACAGACCTATTTTTAGATATGTTTTCAGTACAATTTTGAACAGCAACTTTTTAATTAAACATCTTCCAGTGTTAGGAAGGTGAGAAATGTTCATAGGCAAGTCTGCTGTTCTATGTCAACATCTTTTGTCGCCCCTAGTCCCCCAGGAGTTCTTTCCTTTCCCCTCTAGTTTTGGGTGTGCATGTTTGGAGTTTGTTTGTAGTGGGTGGTTTAAAACTGGACCATTCTGCCTTGCTTTGGTTTGTTCATGAAAGCCTCATTCATTTATCTGATCCTTTAGCTTTTGCATTCACCCACCCTTCCCACCTACCTCTCCTGGGACTATTGACCAGCATAATAATCCCGGGAGAATGACTCCTCTCGTAGAAAGACTAAAGTATCCATCCCCTCATAGTTAAGTAGCCACTGGTGTCCTGGGAATTTCTGGTTGGATTTGGTGCCCTGAACTTCCTTACTAAGAAATCAGTTCCCAGGGTGAGAGTAACAGGCCATTTGGCCAAGAAAGAAGCCTGATTGTTTTTCTTTTGAACTATGAAAAGACCCTGTTTGTGAATACATTTTAGAAGAGAGGAAGGATGTCTGCAGAACTTTGTTCTGTTTTCTGCTACAAAAATGTGAATAGTTCAGAGTGAAAACCTTTTGTGATGGTTGATGTCTCTCAGGAATAAGCTGAATCTCCAATGTTTTGGGGATGCTTTGAGTCTCAAAAATTGATAATCAGAAAAGTATTTTTGTTTGTTTGTTTAATGTATCCCTGTTCTGTTTTTAATTAAACTCCAAATCTCATTTTACATGTTCTTGGGAAAATCTAAGTTGCGCTGTAATTTACATAAAAAGCATGCTCAGGACCTCTTTGCACCCTGGGGAGCCTGATTCTTTGGGAATGAAGCTTTTCATTCTTCATACACTGGCCTTGGCATCCTGTGGAATTTGACCCAACTAGCAGTCAGTGAGTGGAAGAGTGAACTCTTGATCTTTATTGCTATGTGTGAAAACTTGGCTTCCTCACTGAACAGTGGAAAATGGATTTAAAGCATGAGCTTGAGTAGTGTCAAGATGCCCTTTTTCTTTTCTTGCCATCTTGGGGAGCTTCTTCTGCATGTGGCCCCCTAATTAGAAGGCATGTTTTTAGTATTTCTTGGGAGTGTCAGCTGTATAATGCAGCAGCTGTCCAATCCCTTATCCTTCTCTGCAAGGACCTCCTTACGGCTTGGTGCAATTCTTTCCCGGAGACCACCTCTAGACAGCCTTTGACCTTCATAAGTTGGCATTTAAAAAATAATTTCACAAGGCATGAGATAAACTTCCAATAGATGATACCTTTGTGTCATGCCTCATAGAATTATTTTTAGAACAAGCCAGAGTCCATTTGGTGGTTTACCTCTGCATGTTTGGAGGGAACCTCACAGATGGAACCCTGAATGAATGATGTGTCCTGGCTTTTTTAGAGGGAAGGAACACCCTTAAGTTGCCACTTGACTGAGACAGTTCTCACCACTTTAGTGACCATATGTAGTTTTCTTTTTATGGGGAACCCGTGCTTCTATTGTTGTGGGGACATTCGGTCTTAATGAGAAACGACTTCCCTCCAAATTCCAGCAGCAGACATGCATTGTCATGGTTCTGCCTTCTTTATTGTGTGGGTCATTGAGTTCACCAGTTCTCATTCTGTTTAAATATGTACAGCATTTTCAAAGGCACAGATACAGAGAAGCTGGCTTCTAGGTGTTGGGCTTCCAAGCCAAGAATTTTGTCCTTCCACCTGTACTAGTTATCTACTGCTATGTAACAAATTACCCTAAATTTAGTATCTTAAAATAGCAAACATTATCTGTCCGTTTTTGTGGGTTAAGAATTTGGGAGTAGCTTAACGTGATGGTTCTGGCCCAGGGTATCATGAAGTTAACAGTCAAGATACGGGCAAGGGCTGCAGTCACCTGGAGCTGGAGAATCCACTTCCAAGTTCTCTTTTTGTGGCTGTTGGCAGGATCCCTCAGTTTCTTCCCATGTGGGTCTTTGCATGAGTGGCCTCACACCATGACACCTTGGCTTCTCCCTGAGCCACAGATTCCAGAGATGGGGGGCAGGGCCAGGAGAAAAGCTGCAGTGCCTTTTAAGACAGTCTTGGAAAGGACACACCATCACTTCTTATCCCAGTCTTTAGAAGCAAGCCACTAAGTCCAGCCTGCTCTCAATGAGAGAGGAATTACACATCCCTCTACCCCAATGGAGCAGTAGCAAAGAATGTATGGATGTATCTTAAAAGCACCACACCCCAACTGAGGAGGAAGCCAGGTCAATAGGGAGCTAGGTTTAATCTAGATAAGCTGAAAGATAGATTACTATCAAAAACAATTACTGGGATAGAAAGCAAACTCCCCAAAGCTACTTGCTGTTTTTGAGAGGGGTAGTAAGAAATGGCAGTTCCCAGGAGAAGTAGAAAATAAGCTTCACTACCAGCAGCTCAAGTATGCTTATTTGCCAGTCCTAGGCTTGGTGTCTGTAAGACTCATTTACCACTTTTATTTTCCTGTAGCTAGGAATTAACAAAAGGAAGTGGGGCCTTCCAGCTGAGTCACTAAAGCTGTCTTATTTGGAATGGGGATTGTCCAGCAAAGGGAGCAAACATGAATTAGATGTTAGGCTATATTGAGCTGAAGACAAGAAAGCAGTTCAGATTTAGGTGAAATAGAAGATGTTATCAGGAAGCCAGTTTCCCACGAGTGTGGGTGCTTGGTACCTGGCCTCTCCAGTCTCAACAGACTCAAGTCAGATCTCTCACCCAGGAAGCAACCACTCCGTAAAATAGGGAACATCCGAGAATTACAAATGTCTATGCTTGGTTGCTCCTCTAAATCCAGTGCACAGGTTAACACCCTGCATGCCCATCTCTTCCTGGGCTTCTTGATGGCAGTGTTCTTAAAGAATTTGTCTTGTCTTCACCCCCAAGACAAACTTATAAAGTTTTTTCATTTAATACATTCTAGCGAATGGCTGCTATATGTTTCTGGCACCCATTCCTAACCAGGTCTTTAGAGATTTCAGATACTTTAAAGATGGAAAATTTCGTTTTGTTTTGTTTTGTTTTGTGAGATAAGAGTTGTGCTCTGTCGCCCAGGCTGGTGTGTAGTGGTGCGATCTCAGCTTACTGCATCCTCTGCCTCCCAGGTTCAAAGGTTTCTCCTGCCTTAGCCTTCTGAGTAGCTGGGATTACAGGCACACACC